GAGGTTTTGTACACCAGGCGAGGTAAAATTTCGATTTTAAACTTTCGTGACTGCAGGGATTCATATTCTTGGTTCTTTCGGTAAAGTCACGTAGGAGGGAAATAATAAAATAATAAAAATAAAACATAATAAATTTTCGATTTAAAGCTTTCGTGACTGCAGGGATTCATATTCTTGGTTCTTTCGGTAAAGTCACGTAGGAGGGAAATAATAAAATAATACAAATACAACCTGATGATGATTGCTTGTGTTGCAATCGAAACATCGTGAGAATTTTATATTTTTATTATTTCCCTTCTACGTGACTTCAGGCGAGGTAGTTAACATTTCACCACGGTGACGATGCTTTGTACACCAGGCGAGGTAGTTAACATTTCACCACGGTGACGATGCTTTGTATACCAGGCGAGGTAGTTAACATTTCACCACGGTGACGATGCTTTGTACACCAGGCGAGGTAGTTAACATTTCACCACGGTGTCGATGCTTTGTATACCAGGCGAGGTAGTTAACATTTCACCACGGTGACGATGCTTTGTACACCAGGCGAGGTAGTTAACATTTCACCACGGTGGCGATGCTTTGTACACCAGGCGAGGTAGTTAACATTTCACCACGGTGACGATGCTTTGTACACCAGGCGAGGTAGTTAACATTTCACCACGGTGGTGATGCTTTGTACACCAGGCGAGGTAGTTAACATTTCACCACGGTGGCGATGCTTTGTACACCAGGCGAGGTAGTTAACATTTCACCACGGTGGCGATGCTTTGTATACCAGGCGAGGTAGTTAACATTTCACCACGGTGGCGAGACTTTATACACCAAGCGAGGTAGTTAACATTTCGCCACGTTGACTACCTCGCCAGGTACACGTGGCAGGCGTTTGAACATTTCCGTCTGGAATGATAACGGACACCCATTGGGGATGCCACTGCCCATGCTGACGCCGCCGGGGCAAACCCCGAGTCTCAGTTCGCACGGGGATGGGGGAATCTTTCGCATTTATCAGCTCAAGCACGACCCCCCCACCCACCCCACCCCCTACTGCCGGGTCAAGATAACGCGCGGTGCATATTTTCGGAGGGGAGGGGCGAGGGGGAGGGCGTTGTTTTTCGACACAAGAGAAAGACAGAGACAGAGAGAGAGATAGCGAGTGCGTGATAAGCTTGCACAAAAGAACCATGGGACCCGACATACTTTGAATGAAGCCACACCGATGGAAGGGAGTTCTTATCAGCCGCCACCCCCCTCCCCTCAACCCCCCCCCCTCCTCACTCCCTCCCCATTACCACGGGTGGATATGGGCCCTCTCAGAGGGAGACAGAGACGATATAAGTAATATTTAATAAGTATAACCCGTAAAAACAAAGTTTTTCACTATAAATCCTTTATATGCGTGGCGGCTAGAGTCCTCTCGTCCTCTGGCTTGAGATGGCTGCCACCTATGGGTCAGATGATTGTCTGCCAGTATTAAGCAATTGGTAATCAAATATTTAATTTGTTTTCCCTAAACAGTGTAAAATTTTGAAAAAAAAATTCACGAACATTAATTGTATCGCACAACGAGTCTGTGTGCAAAATGTCAGCTCGATTGGATCACGGGAAGTGGGTTAAAAACGACCGAAAGATTTGCACGGTCGTAAGCAAGCAAGCAATCACACAAGCAAGCAAGCGAACTTAATATAAAGGATTTAAAAATACTTTTTTTTTAAACACGCTTTAATGTACCGTACGAGTAATGGCAGAACTCCACGACTCCAGAAAGTGGCCCCGAAGCTTGCCACAACGTAAGTGACCGTGGCCGATTTACAGCCAACGTCAGTTGAGCGTGGACAATTAGACCCAAGCCGAAACATAACATATAAAAGCTTGTTTAAAAAATATATATTTTAGTTGTTATGATAGAATATAGTATTGTCATCAGTATGACATAAGTATACCAAGTTTGCAGTCGATACCATATTGGGAAGTGAGTTAAAATTGAGTTACAAGATTTGAGGATACAACTACAACGCCAACAACAACAGACAGAGTGAGTTAATGAAACGCGTGTTACGAAGCGATAGTGTACATAGCAGGCGGAATAATTGCAGACATCAACGATTTCATTATTTATTCCACACAACCACCCTCCAGATCTGTTTCGTCGGCGTTAATATTTTATCGTCAGATCTCGTCGAGATGGGTCGGTGCCTCGCGATGGTGAGAGAGACCTCCACGCACAAAGATAAAGACAAAGGTCCCCCCCTCCCCCGCCTCTCTCGTATAGCCTTAACGGACTGTTGGGGCAAGTGCTGTTAGCGAGGTAGAATCTACGAAGGCCGGCACTCACGCACACAAAGAAAAAGATCCCACCCCCGTATAGCCTTAACAGACTGTAGGGGCAAGTGCTGTTAGCGAGCACCTATAAAGGCCGGCACGGCACACGAGGGGGTGGGTGGCCAACACCACGCCCGACCGCCTTTGTCTCCCCAGTGGCGATGTTTACCCGTCGCACCAGGTACTAATTTGAGGCCGAGTCGACCTAGGGGAGGCCCAGAACCGGTTCAGATAATCGTCACTGGTGTTGGCCGTGAGCGGGAATCGAACTCGGGTCGTCAGGTTCGTAGCGCAAGCGTGGCGCTAACCGCTACACCACCGCTCACGCACACACACACGCGCACAGAATCCCCTTGACAATGAATAATGTTGGGTTTGCATTTAATTTGGCGACATTCCGGCTTGGGGAATGAAATGAAATGAAAAAACAACAACATCGGCGTGATAGAACAGCGCTGCCGCCTGCTTGGTGGACTTAGAGGTGACCTCTTCCAACAGATCTCGGAGGCAGCTCTCCGAAATCCACTTCCGCGGGCTCGTTTGCTACCACGGATGGGTTCTTTTTAAATCTTTTATATTAAGTTCACTTGCTTGCTTGCTTGCGCGCTTACGACCGTGCAAATCTTTCGGTCGTTTTTAAATCCTTTATATTAAGTTCACTTGCTTGCTTGCCTGCGCGCTTAGGACCGTGCAAATCTTTCGGTCGTTTTTTAACCCACTTCCCGTGATCCAATCGAGCTGACATTTTGCACACAGACTCGTTGTGCGTGACACTTGATTTTCGCGAAAATTTGTTACACTTTTTAGGTTAAAAAATATATATATATTTAATTACCAATTGCTTAATGGTAGCAGGCAATCATCTGACCCATAGGTGGCAGCCATCTCAAGCCAGAGGACGAGAGGACTCTAGCCGCCCGTATCAAAGACCAATGTGGGCTGGGTTGTGGCCCATTGAACACGCATATAAAGGATTTATAGTGAAAAACTTTGTTTTTACGGGTTAATTTTTTTTACTGCGCTGCGAGATTTCCGAATGGATTCTTTGTCTCGTAGCGACGCGACACAATGGGTGGGATAACAATGGAGGACGGGAACAATGGTTATTATGATTATTCTGTTTTAAACAATGGCCATGTTTTTCATCATCAGAAGGAATCACTTTTAAACATGCAAAATAAAACAAACTTTACACTCAACACGTGGTCAGCCAGCTGAAGCCAGTTCATAAACAACAGCCGTGATAACAGCACCCGCAGAGAGAGATAGACTCACCCACCACCCACTCAGCTCACCCTCCCAGTTCACCCACCACCCCACTCAGCTCACCCATCCAGCTCACCCACCCACCCGCTCAGCTCACCCACACACCACTCAGCTCACCCGCCCAGCTCACCCACCACCCCACTCAGCTCACCCATCCAGCTCACCCACCCACCCGCTCAGCTCACCCACACCCCACTCAGCTCACCGTCCCAGCTCACCCACCACCCCGCCCAGCTCACCCACCACCCCGCTCAGCTCACCCACCACCCCACCCAGCTCACCCACCACCCCGCTCAGCTCACCCACCACCCCGCTCAGCTCACCCACCACCCCACCCAGCTCACCCACTCAGCTCACCCGCTCAGCTCACCCACCACCCCGCTCAGCTCACCCACCACCCCACTCAGCTCACCCACACCCCACTCAGCTCACCCGCTCAGCTCACCCACCACCCACTTAGCTCACCCACCACCCCGCTCAGCTCACCCACCACCCCGCTCAGCTCACCCACCACCCCACTCAGCTCACCCGCTCAGTTCACCCACCACCCACCCAGCTCACCCACCACCCCGCTCAGCTCACCCACCACCCCGCTCAGCTCACCCACCACCCCACCCAGCTCACCCACTCAGCTCACCCGCTCAGCTCACCCACCACCCCGCTCAGCTCACCCACCACCCCACTCAGCTCACCCACACCCCACTCAGCTCACCCACTCAGCTCACCCACCACCCACTCAGCTCACCCACCACCCACTCAGCTCACCCGCCACCCACTCAGCTCACCCACCACCCACTCAGCTCACCCACCCACCCACTCAACTCAACTCACCCACCCACCCGCTCAGCTCACCCACCCACCCGCTCAGCCGCCCGCCTGCTCCCTCAGCTCATCCGCCCGCTCATCTTATCAACATCAACCCCGCCCGCTCATCAAACGGCCCCAACAACATCTGCATTCCAGATCGCCGCGTTGAATCTTTATGTCTTCCAGACGGGTCCACTCCAGCGGGCCGCGTGGGGTTCTCAATAGGAGGAAGAGGAGGGGGGTGGTGGTGGGAGGAGGGGGTGGTGGTGGTGGGAGGAGGAGGAGGGGGTGGTGGTGGTGGTGGGAGGAGGAGGAGGTGGGGAAGAGGGGTGGGGGGGAGATGCAAGCGGGGAGAGGGCGCGGGGGAGGTTCGGTGCTGAGTCTGCTGACCTATCGAGAGAGCTGCGCGCGTGAGAGAGTTTGAGCGAGTGGAGGAGGATGGGGGCTGTGGGCGTGGTACACGTGGGGGTGGTGTGGGGTAGTGTGGGCACGCAGGAGAGGGAGGGAGGGGTGGAGGGCGGGGAGAGCGAGCCATCAGCGGAGTGAGTGAGCAGTGCGAGAGGATCTTGGACAGAAGGTGAGAAGGAGGTTGTTCATCGGAGTGTAGAGGCTGCGCTGAATTCATTCGAGAGTGGAGGTTTGGTGGTGGTGGTGGTGGTGGGAGGGAGGGAAACTTCGTAGCGCAGTTCGCTGCTCAAGCCGCCCGGGGCAGATGGCAGAGTTCACGTGAACAAAGGCAAAGAGGCAAGAGTTTGGCAGTGACACACACAGAGAGAGAGAGATTATAATACACAAACACAGAGTCTCACACACAGAGAGAGTCTCACACACAGAGTCTCACACACAAACACACAGACTTCCACACACAGAGAGAGAGAGTCTCAAACACCCACAGAGTCTCAAACACACACACAGAGTCACACACACAGAGAGTCTCACACAGAGAGTCTCACACACAGAGAGACACACACACACAGAGTCTCACACAGAGAGAGAGAGAGACACACACAGAGAGTCTCAAACACACAGTCTCACACACAGAAGCTCACATACACAGTCTCTCACACACACAGAGCCTCACACACACACACAGAGCCTCACACACACACACACAGAGCCTCACACACACACAGAGCCTCACACACACACACACACAGAGTATCACACACACAGAGAGAGTCACACACACACAGAGCCTCACACACACACAGAGTATCACACACACAGAGAGAGTCACACACACAGAGTATCACACACACAGAGCGCCCGTGCGCAACAACGTGAGCGAGAAAAACGCTCAAACTCTCTCCAAGTGAGTGAACGAGCTCTCCTCCTCCTCCTCCTTATCTCTGTGCCGTGAAATCGTTGGGACCATCACCACCACCACCACCATCAACAACCACCATCAACAACCACCATCAACAACCACCACCACCATCAACAACCACCATCAACCACCACCACCGACCACCCGCTCGAGGAAGGCCGTCGCTTCGCCTGTGGTGCGGAATAACCCAGCCGAGTTCCAGGCGACCTACTTACTGCGGAGTTCGAGGTAATCACCATCTCCACCATCTCCACCATCTCCACCATCTCCACCATCTCCACCATCTCCATCACCTTCACCATCTCCATCATCTTCACCATCTCCACCATCTCCACCATCTCCACCATCTTCACCATCTCCACCATCTTCACCATCTCCACCATCTCCACCATCTTCACCATCTCCACCATCTCCACCATCTTCACCATCTCCATCATCTCCACCATCTTCACCATCTTCACCATCTCCACCATCTTCACCATCTCCACCATCTCCACCATCTTCACCATCTCCATCACCTTCACCATCTCCATCATCTTCACCATCTCCACCATCTCCACCATCTCCACCATCTTCACCATCTCCACCATCTTCACCATCTCCACCATCTCCACCATCTTCACCATCTCCACCATCTCCACCATCTTCACCCTCTCCACCATCTCCACCATCTTCACCACCTCCATCACCTTCACCATCTCCATCATCTTCACCATCTCCACCATCTCCACCATCTCCACCATCTCCACCATCTCCATCATCTTCACCATCTCCATCATCTCCACCATCTCCATCACCTTCACCATCTCCATCATCTTCACCATCTCCACCATCTCCACCATCTCCACCATCTCCACCATCTCCATCATCTTCACCATCTCCATCATCTTCACCATCTCCACCATCTCCACCATCTCCACCATCTCCATCACCTTCACCATCTCCATCATCTCCACCATCTCCATCACCTTCACCATCTCCACCATCTTCACCATCTCAATCACCTTCACCATCTCCATCATCTTCACCATCTTCACCATCTTCACCATCTCCACCATCTTCACCAGCTCCACCCTCTTCACCATCTTCACCATCTCCATCACCTTCACCATCTCCACCATCTCCATCATCTTCACCATCTCCACCATCTCCACCATCTTCACCATCTCCACCATCTTCACCATCTTCACCATCTCCATCATCTCCACCATCTCCATCACCTTCACCATCTCCACCATCTTCACCATCTCCACCATCTCCACCATCTCCACCATCTTCACCATCTCAATCACCTTCACCATCTCCACCATCTCCACCATCTCCACCATCTCCACCACCATCTCCACCATCTTCACCATCTTCACCATCTTCACCATCTCCACCATCTTCACCATCTCCACCATCTTCACCATCTCCATCACCTTCACCATCTCGATCATCTTCACCATCTCCACCATCTCCACCATCTCCACCCTCTCCACCATCTCCACCACCTCCACCATCTCCACCATCTCCTTGGTGATGTCGGGGAGTGTCACGCCTGCGTTCGGCGCGTCTCCTGGGGGCCTCCCGCCTAGGTCGACTCAGCCTCAAATAAGTAACACTGCCCGATGCGGTGTGTAAAAATCGCCAGTGGGGAGACAAAGGCGGCCGAGTCGTGGTGCTGGCCACCCTCCCCCTTCCGTATAGGTCGCTGCTAACAGCACTTGCCCCAAACCGGCTGTTGTGAGCCGTGTCAATGCAGTGCTCGCTACGGACACTTGCCCCAATAGTCAAGGGAAGGCTACGCGGGGAATATTTGCCTTGTTTTTGTTCGCCGTGCCCGGCCAAACATCCTCGTGTAAGCTACACGGTGGGGTGGGTGGAATCGTTTGTCTCTTTGTGTGTGTGCGCGCGTGTGTGCATAGGTGCTCGCTAACAACACTCGCCCTGGCAGTCAGCACTGCTGTGGTGGTTGGTTGGTGGGGGGGGGGGGGGTGCTTCCTGTGTGTGCGTAGCTGCACAGTAACGGCACTTGTCCCCAACGGTGTGCGCAGCTATATAGGGGATCTTTGTCTCTTGTGCGTGCGATCTGGAGTAACGGTGGGGGGTGGTGGTGGGGGGGGGAGGGAGCGGTGGCGCCGCGGTTAGCGCACCAACACCACCAGTGGCGATTATCTGAACCGATTCCTGGGCCCCCTCCCCCTAGGTCGACTCGGCCTCGAATGAGTGCCTGGTGCGACGTGTAAACATCGCCGTCGGGGAGACAAAGGCGGCCGGGCGTGGTCGCTGGCCACCCACCCACCCCCTCGTGCGCCGTGCCGGCCTTCATAGGTGCTACTCGCGAACAGCACTTGCCCCAACAGTCTGTTACAGGCTATGCGGGGGACCTTTGTCTTTGTGTGCGTGAGTGCCGGCCTTCATAGGTGCTACCACCACCACCACCGCCACAGCAGCAGCTGCTGCTGCTCGCTGGCTTGCTGCTTGCTGCTTACTCGCCCAGGAGTTCTTGCCCCAACAGTCCGTGGAAGGCTGTAACGGAGGAGGAGGAGCGGGGCTGGGGACCTTCATTGTGGGGTGACGGGCACAAGAGGCCCCACGAATGGGTGACATCGGCGGCAGGGGGGGGGGCGGCGATTTGGCGGATGGTCAAAAACTCGTACGGCCTTGGGGTTTTAGGTTTGGGAATTTTTTGAAAAACAGGAAAAGCTTTCTCTTCCTCCTGCCCCCCACCACCGACTCTCCACCGCGTTGCCCCCCCCCCCCACCACCTCGAACTTCTCGCCCCCCCCCCATCTCGCACTCACCACAAGTTTATTTTCTCAGAAATGCCACCACCACACAGAGTGGTTTTCATAGGAGCAGCGCGCGGTCGTTGTGGGTAGGTGGTTGGGTGGGTGGTTGGGTGGGTGGGTAGGTGGTTGGGTGGTTGGGTGGGAGGGTGGGTGGGTGGTTGGGTGGATGGGTAGGTGGTTGGATGGGTGGTTGGGTGGGTGGGTGGATGGGTAGGTGGTTGGGTGGGTAGGTGGTTGGATGGGTAGGTGGTTGGATGGGTGGGTAGGTGGTTGGATGGCTGGTTGGGTGGGTGAGTAGGTAGGTGGGCGGGTGGGTGGATGGGTAGGTGGTTGGGTGGGTAGGTTGGAGGGTGGGTGAGTAGGTGGCTGGGTGCGTGGGTGGGTAGGTGAGAGAGAGAGATCCGTGTTATATTGGCGAATGTTTAAAGCTGTTAAAGACCCTTTGTCCCCTTTTAAATTCTTCTCGTCGAGTTAAAGCCGTTTGCTAATAAACCTCTTAAAATAGCGCATTGATTCATCTCTAATCTCGTCTGCGCCTCCCAGCTCGCATCGAACGCCATCTCTCCTCTGTCCAATGGACATCTCTCTCGTTACTCTCTGGTTCTTTCAGTAAAGTCGCGTAGGTAGAAAATAAAATAAAATCTCTCTCGTTCACTCCACCCGACTCAGCAACCACATCGCTCTCGTCTCCTCACACCGAACTGCGTCTCTCGCTTTGTTCCCACTTCTCGGCTCTCGCGACTTTACGCCTCGCCACCATCTCGTCTGTCGACTACACGTGCACGTTTCTTTACATTTAACTGCGGGGGTGACGTTGGTGGTGGGTGGTGGAGCGGGCAGGGGTGGGGGAGGGCGCTAAAACTGAATTCCTGCTCCGTGACTTCTGCAGTGGCTCCAGGCCGGGTTTTGTTGTTGTTGTTCAAACCCCACTTCTCTCGGACACCACCAACACCACAGCCACCATCATCATCAACAACCACCACGTTCGCCAATTTCCTCCTCCCTGCCCGCCCCAAGGCGAGTCAACTCGTTCCACGCCGCCGAGTTGAGCGAATCACGGCTGCTGCTGCTGCTGCTGCTGGTGGTGGCCGTGGGCCGGAATCGAACTCGGGTCTCGGGAGGTTCCACAGCGCGGCACTGACCGCTTTGTCTGGAGTGCGAGTGTCGAGTTCGCGGCGCTGCAGAGGTCAGCGTTGCGCCCCGAACCCGGCAGCCCGAGTTCGATTCCGGCTCACGACCCGTTGCCAAGTGGCGATGATCTGAACTGGTCCCGGGCCTCAAATGGGTACCTGTTGCGATGTGTAGCGAACATCAGTACTGGGGGGAAGACAAAGGCGGCCGGGCGTGGTTCTGGCTACCCACCTCGTGCGCCGTGCCGGCCTTCATATGGTGCTGCTCGTAACAGCACTTGCCCCAACAGTCCGTGGCAGGCTACACGGGGAGATCTTTGCCGTTGTGTGTTCTCCCCCTGTCCGACACGGGCTTCCTCGTGCCTCCCCGGTTTCCTTTCCACGGATTAAAAACATCCCACGCCAGGTCACCGCGGCGGCGCATCGTGGCATCCTCCGACTGTAAATTCACTCACTCCCTCGACAACAATTCACTCACTTCCTCTACAATTCACTCACCCCCTCGACAATTCACTCACTCTACGACTCACTCACTCCCTCTACAATTCACTCACTCCCTCGACAATTCACTCACTCCCTCTACAATTCACTCACTCTACAAATCAATCACTCTACAACTCACTCACTCCCTCTACAATTCACTCACTCCCTCGACAATTCACTCACTCTACGACTCACTCACTCCCTCTACAATTCACTCACTCCCTCGACAATTCACTCACTCTACAACTCACTCTCTCTACAATTCAATCGCGATGATTTCGTCGCTGTAAATTCACTGGCTCCCTCTTCTATGGATGGCGCGAAGTGTTTTTGCCCAAAGCACGCACGCACCCACCCACCCTCTTCTGCAGCAGCAGCGGTTCTTCTTAACCTCGAGGTGCGAGATTCCTCTTTCTGGAGGTGCGAGACGTGGCCAGATGTTTGTATTTTTCGAAGGTAAATCATCGAAAACACAAAGTAAGCGAGGGCACGTGAGTCCGACTAACTTTGTTTCATCGCACCTAGTGTATTTATTAACATTTAAAACAATATACGTTTGAGGACTGAATGGGTGCAAGGGCTGCAGTTAAAGTTAAGAACCGCGGCTCTTACAGCATCGTAACCATTCGTTCCTCTTTAGGGGGTGGGGTGCGTGAAGAATGCGTCTCGAGTTTGTATTATTTTTGTTTATTGCGGCAGGAGGGTAAGAAGAGCTTTTAGTCCAAACCGCTTTGCGCCAGACCTTTTTTTTGTAAAGTCAATCATTGACTTCGAAGCTTGACACCTCTAACCCCCCACCCACCCCCCCAACACACACACACTCTGTTAATCTCACTCAATT